AAAGTACAATAAAGAAATGTTATAAGCGGTACAGAAACCCACAGGATTTATGTGTAACCACTGGTCGCTTAGTTTATAACATATAAAAAATGATAAAGAAACTTAAACTATTCAACGGTGAAAGAATTTGAAATCGGCCCAGCAGCCCCCGAGCCCATACAATGCATACAAAAACACAAATATTTCCTGTTTATAATATTAGTATAGATTATTTTAATTTACACATTAGATATTTATTGTTCTAACAGGGCCGATTTCAAATTAATTTTACAATTTGATGGTTTTTTTTAATTATTTGTTCGAGCACAACGCTGTCAAGGTCGTTGAGCAGCTGCGGCAGAAGATATTCCCAGTTGTGCTTGCCATATGCGTTATTGTATGTCGGTAATTTATATTTAGGCAGATTAGGCAAGTTTCGTAACTGATTAGGTCTTAGGTTCAATTTAAGTAGGGGTATGTTATTTATTTCATCACTAATAATGTACAGTTTTATTTTTTTGTAAATGACATTACACGACATGTCACTAGGAATTAAAAAAAAACACTGTTTTATGAAATTAATAATGACCATAAAAATAATGAGAGTAAATAAATGTTTATTACTACTACAGCCTACGTAATTGAATTGGATTTCGCTATTATTTCTGTCATCGCTAAATTCTCTAAACTATAATCAATATTAGAATTGTTATCTAAATTATTTAATAGGAAAATAATAATTTTAGTTTAGTTCGATATTATTAAACCGAATATCGATAGTTCATACTTGTTCGCTGCGTGTTTGTTTCGTAACTATGATACCTGTCTATTAAGTACGGCATTTGCCTTCATACAAATTTAATTCGGTACTTCATATGCGTCATCATACTAATATTATAAATGCGAAAGTTTAGATGAATGGATGGATGGATGGATGGATGTTTGTTAGAGTTTGTAGCCTAAACGGCTGAACGAATCTCCATGAAATTTGGCACAGGTTTAGGGCATCCCGTAGGATTCATTAATTTAGTTTTTTAATGTTAACTCGATCATTCTGCAACGGTTCAACATATATTATTGAAATTTGGCACAGATATAAAACAAAGTCTGGAGTACACATAGGATAAGCTTCATCCCCGAGAAATGTCCGGTTCCCGAGGGATACGTAGCTTTTTGTAATTTATATTGCTCGTATGTTTTCTAATACCACGCGGACGAAGTCGCGGGCAAAAGCTAGTAAACAATAAAAGTAAACTTACCAATATCTTGGTTCTCTTCAAACAACTTGCTGTGCCTCTCTTTCAGTCTCCTTATGTTGGCGAGCTTGCTGTCTCGCTCATCTGATAGAATTATTCTCTTGAAGCGCAGAATTTCCAATTGCTTTGTAAGTCTCACGTGTTCCGCTCTTTGGAAGGGAGATGGTTTTGACTGAAATATTAATTTTTTTTTTAATTAATAACATATCTGATTATAAATCTATACTTAATTATATATATTACAAAGAGGAAAGATTTGTATTTTTGTATGTATTTAATCCACGCAAATACTACTGGATTGATTTTAAAAATTCACCATTAGAAAGGTAAATATATCTGTGAGTAACATAGGCTATATTTATTGTTTTCACGCGGGCGAAGTCGCGAGCAACAGCTAGTCTATACTAATATTATAAAGAGGAAAGATTTTTGGATTTTTGTATGTATCGAAATAACTCAAAAACTACTAGGACAATTTCAAAAATTCATTTACCTTAGAAAACTACGTTATCGCTGAGTAACAAAAACCGTTTTTTTTTTGTTAAATCTTACGTGGACGAATATATTATAAAGAGGATTTTTAGTATGTATGGAAATAACTCAAAAACTACTGGGCTGATTACAAAAATTCTTTCACCACTAAGTAATTACGCTTATTACTGAGTAACATGGTTATATTTATTACAAACTAGCTTTTGCTCACGACTCCCCGTGGAATTAAACAAAAAACAAAATTGAGTAACCAATGTATTCTTCCAGACTATCCTCTACATCTGTACCAAACTCCATTGAAATCCGTTCAGTAGTTTAGGCTACAAACTCTAACAAACATCCATCTAAACATTCGCATTTATATATTTGTATGATGTTTATTTTCCGTGCGGCAAAGACGCGAGCTTCAACTAGTATATAATCATACTAATATTATAAATGCGAAAGTTTAGATGGATGAAAATTTGTAGCCTAAACTGCTTAACAGATCTTGATGATTGTCATAGATGTAGAGGATAGTCTGGAAGAACACTTCTACACATTTTTTTTTATATTCCACGCGATCGGAGTCGCGGGCGGATGCTAGTAAATAGATTTCAATACTGACCTTAAAAGACAAAAGGTCATTCAGTTTCAAGGCAAGTCTTGGTCCATTAGATACTGTTCTTACTTCTTTAATTTTTCCATTTTTGTTACTTAAATCGCTATGAGAAGACGATTTCTCTCTATCAAAGACATTCTCTTCAACGGAGAATAAATTCCTTTGTGATCTACTCTTTCTTTGCTTCAGATCACTCTGGTCGTTGGCTTGGACCCAATTCTCATCTGTTAAAGCAGACTTCTTATATATCCTCTCCTTAATTTCTTGTACAGCCTCTTGTCGTTTCTTTATAGAGTATTGTAATAGATGTAATTTCTGTAATTTCGTTGCATTATAGCTCGGTCTTATTTCCGATTTAAGGAAATTCAGAGCTAAATACCTATATTTAGGTTCCCCATCAGATTCATTTCTTAAATCGTAACTCTCTGCTGTTTCACTTAAATCGATTCTACTACTCAAATCTTCGTGGGATATATTTTTATTATCACAGTTATCACTGGCTTTAATTTCTAAATGTTCTGGTGAATGTTCGTATATCTGTATTTGTTCGTTGACTTTCCTCTCAGTACTGTTATCTCTACTTTTAGAATCTAGATTATTCATTGATGTGTTTAGACTGGTTGATGTTTTAATTTTTGGGTAATTCTGCTTAAAACCTCTATCGACAGGACTATGACTTTTAGAATACTCCTTATCATTTACTTTTGTATATCTATTAGGTGAAATTGATCTATCTTTAATTAATCTATTCTGTATAAATTTTGTTTCGATTACATTTTTATATAGATTAGTCCTTCCAGAAGAATCGGAGGATATTGATCCATGTTCTACCTCGTTCTCTGGCGGTATAACATCCAATTTAAGACTTTTATACGAACAGAAATAACCACCGTGCATTTGAAATACAAGTGTGTTACTTTTGAAGCAATCTGATGTGAAATTTAAAGCTAGATTTGCACCGATATATCTAAGACCGGTGAAATATAATCCCCACGTTTGTATGACTGTGTCTTGGAGGTTATCGGATTTTTCTTCACTATTACTCGGCAAGAGAATGTGGCACCATATACGGATAACGACGTTGCTTGAGGACATCCTTTGAGTTATTTCTGAAACGTAAAATATGACACATAAAGATCTGTCTTATAATTTCCTTGGTCCCACACAAGCAGGATCTTTTTTAAAATCAATCTTACTAATATTATAAATGTAAAAGTTTGGATGGATGGATGGATGTTTGTTAGAGTATGTAGCCTAAACGGCTGAACGATTTTCCATGAAATTTTGGTATAGACGTAGAGGATAGTCTGGGAGAACACATAGGCTACTTTCTTTTTTTTTCATTAGTACCACGCGGACAGAGTCGCGGGCGGAAGCTAGTCTTACATAATATAATAGAAAGTTTAGATGGTTGGGTGATAAATGGATGGATGTTTGTACGTATAACGGCTCAACAGATCGTCTTAAAATGTGATATAAAAGTAGAACATAGTCTGAAAAAGCGCATAGGCAAAGTTATACCATATAGGCTATGTATTTTTATTAATTTTTAATTTCACGCGGGCGCTAGTTCCATAATATAAACTATTTTGCACACTGTACGTATGACGTAATTTCTAATTAAACTTGTCTGCTACTGGGGGTCGAAAGATTGCCAGCCGAGTGACTCATAGGCGATAATGTAAAGTTGCATTCACATGAGCGACGTCAACATTTAAAACGACGTAACAACGGTAAACAAAGACCTTTGTATACTGTAAAACAGGACGACAATATATTGCTATCTCTTTCATTTTGATAGCTAAGATTAGGTTAGAACCTTTATCTAACGTCAGTGATCGGTAACTCAACTTAAATTAATACATATTCACGGTTTCCATGGGATAAGCATTTGAGTGAATCAGATTAAATCTCTATTTGTATTTGCATAGGGATCAAATTTACATGAGTTGCAAATCACCGGGCGATACTCATCTCGTTGGCTCTCATTTTTACTGTATCGCGTTGAGCCGTAAGCTTAGTTGTTAAGCTGCAGCTCAGTGGCTCAAGGTTACATGAGCTGATTTTTTAATAATTCAGAGATGATTTACACACAACAATCTAACGGGGATATTGTGCAATGTGCTTAGAATGTATTAACAGATCATATTTAGCTTAGTTGGGTAACTATTATATGACGACGGGAGGCAAATATTATTTTATATATGTATATCCATGTTTTTTACTCAATCTTAATTATCTCACTCATGTTATAAACTAGCTCTAGCCAGTGACTCCACCCGCGTGGAATTAAAAAAACAAAAGTGAGTAAGGCTACTCACTTTAGGCATGTGTTCTTCCACACTATCCAAAATACTATACCAAATTACATCTAGATCCGTTAAGCCGTTTAGGCTACAAACTCTAACAAACCACCATCCATCCATCTAAGCTTTCGCATTTAAAATTAGAAGCTAGAAGTAAGATGTCAAAGTTTGAATGGATGTTTGTTAGAATTTGTAGCCTAAACTGGTCAACAAATCTCATTAAAATTTGACACATATGTATAACATAGTTTAAAAAACAGATAGACTATTTACTAAGTTTGTTTTTTAATCCCGCACAAACGGACATGCAGGCGACAGCTAGTCTTACACAAGTCAAGAACCTTAGAGGCTTTATTCCTTTTATCGCTGAATATTACTATAACGGTATTATAAACAAGTTTGCCTTAGTTACAAGTGAATTTGCATTATATCCGCAACACAACTTGAAAACTGGTCATCCGAATAATATAACAGGTTCGTAAGGTAAAAATAATATTTTTATGTTCTAAAAATAATCTATACTATTATAATAAAGCGTAAACACACAATTCTTTGTTGCCTAAAATGTCAGCAATTACAGCATCTTTTTGAATAATTCTTTATTTAATAAAAATCCCTACACTTACGTCACGCTTTAGGTTATATATTTTCACGGCATTAAACTTAGGGGTAAATATTTTGGATAAAAACCCTGTGGGAAAGAGACCATAAGTTGCTGACAACATCAAGGAACCAAGGTTTGTCATGCCATGTTGACATTTGCAATTGATAGTTTGACAAATGTAAATAATAAAATAAAATTTTCATAATTTCATGCGGATGAAACCGCATGGGAACAGCTAGTATTATCATAAAATTGAATGCAACATTTTAATAGCTTTATAAGGTCAATTGGTGAAAAAAAGATAGCAAGAATGTTGCTATCATATTTATATTATTTTTTAAGTGAGATGAAAACAAGTTTCTTACATCATGGTATTAACAGCCAATTATAATTGGTCTTATTTAAAGTTTCCTATCTGTTTTAAAGTTTTCTGTGTAAGGAGGGGGTAGAGGCGATTGTATTACTAAATCTATACTTTTTTTAATAAAGATGGCAAACGAGCAAGCGGCCACCTGAATCCGCCAAAATGGCGAAGCGACCGCTGCCCATAGACATATGCATTTGCAGATGCGTCGCCTACCCTTATCCGACGGAGAAGGAGACGCACATAAAGAGGATATTTCCTCTTCCTATGCATCTCCTCCATCGTCAAATCCACTTCTCCTTCCCATCCTCTCATAAGAAAAGGGTGGTGAAAAGAAAGGGACTTAAATTAGGCCTCCGGCACCACACTCATCAGACGAAACACGGCATTGGTTCCATTTGACGGCTGTCTTCTGTGTGGTCGTGGTATTACTGGGGGCGTGCCGGCCCTGCAGTGCAAAGATGTTAAAGCGGGCACTACCATTGTTACTAAATCTATACATTACATACTACATCTATACTAATATACTACAGTAGAACCTCGATAACTCAAACCTCGGTAAATTAAAAACCCCTATAACTTCAAAAAATAATATGTTCCCTTCCTATCAGAGCAAAAAACCTCTACAACATAGACCCTTGATAACTTAAAGCCTCTATAACTTAAAGTATTTTGTGTTTCCCTTGGACTTTAACTTATGGAGGTTCTACTGTATAATATTATAAAGAGGGAATATTTGTATATACATCCAAAGTATTGAAATAACTCAATAATTACTGGTCAGATTTCAAAAATTCTTTCACCATTAGAAAGGTAATTTATCTGTGAGCAACTTAGGTTACATCTTTTATTATTTTTAATTTCAAAGTAAAAAAGTTGCAAACCACAGATAGTATTAAATATAAATAATAATAGAGATAAGAATCGACTGCTTATTTGTTACCATATTTAGTTTTTTTTATATTATAATAGTAAATGAGCGGCCACGAGAATATTTATTTGGGTTTAGAGACATTCTTTATCTAACTGTTTATTACCTTAACTTACTTTAGAAAAAAATAATATTATAAATTGAAATAAGAAAAATAAATTGAACCATGCATTAGAAGTTAAGCTGGAGGCCGCATCTGAGCCTTCTCTTTTTGGCCAAGAACTGATTATTTTTATAAGTTGTGTAAATTTTTTTTGTTGTTTTTTTTTGCATTCTCCTTGGCCTATAAATAGTGTTTCATGTTTTTATTTTATTTATTTTAAATAACCATACCTGGATCAATTTCCTTCCATTTAGGATGCGGAGATGATATCCTCTCGCTGGTGTAGAAAGGTGCTGACATAGTCGTGTGATGTAGTGTCAGATAATAACTGCATTGATGTGTACACCATTCCGGTGGTCGTATATTGTAACCCACAATCTGTAATACAAAATAAAGTATACTTAAACCACAGTTATATACATTTTATATGGAACAGTATGCAAAGTTTTGAAAAGAAAATTGTATAACCTATGTAATCTTTTAGACTATTCACATTTGTGCTAAGTTTCAAGTTTTGTTAAGCTGTTTAGGAGATATGTAGGAAGTAACATCCATCCATCTAAACTTTTGCAGTTATAACATTAATCTATACATCTATACTAATATAATAAAGCGTAAACACACACTACTTTGTGGCATAGGATGTCAGCAATCGTGGGTTATTTTTGAATAATTCTTTTTTCAATAAAAACTCTACACTTACAACACACTTTAAGATATATATTTTCACACTCTTAAACATAAGGGTAAATAAATTTGTTAAACAGATTTGGCAGAGATGGGGAGGGATAAGTAAGGGATATATTCTTTCTGTGCATCTCCCTATGTTGATTAAAGATATCTATGGACAGTAGTTGCTAAATACTTTGGTGAAATCAGATAGCTGCTGGTTCATGTGTCACCTAATACTATACAAAATAAATAGACATAAAATAATGGATCAGATTACATTTTTATAGAAAGCAAGTGTGCAGTGAACCACTATAGAGATCCATACTATCAGAAACCTATAAATTACTTTAAGAAGTACTCTAAATAGTTTCTTGTTTAGAAATTTTCAGACACTTAACAAATAATAATACTTCATTATCCAAAAATCCAGGGTATCTCAAGATTTTGTGAATACTCAATCAGTAGTAGACAATTACAGTTTGTTTACGTATACTAGTTTTATTACATTGATGAATTTGAAATAAATATCGATTAAGAATACTCGATTATCATTACAGGTAGATGTTTTGGAGTTATATAAAGCGTAAGTTTTATATATTATTGAGATACGTGGATATGCCTATTTCAACTCCTAAGAAATATATAAAAATATTACGTATCCAATGACAACACCCACTCAAAGTGTAGGCGTTTGTTGATAAACTTACGGATCGTGGGAGCAGAAGTGAGTGAAGAAATTCTTTCGATATAATAACCCTATATCTTATATGTATACTTGACTAAGATATACCTGGATAAGGCTCCTCAAACGAAGTTGTTGAGTAGCCAGTGGGGTCCATTCTCTACATCTCGGTCTTCCAAACATCATTTTAAAATTTTAAATACTTAAACATAACGCGAATGAAGATTACATCACAATTGTGTCTAAAATTTTACTTAATATAGAATAATGGAACATGTAACGTAATTCTTCTAAAGAAATTATGTTCCTGTAATAAATAAATAACAAAGCACTGTTCAGCTGACTTTTCAGAATTGTCAATTACCTTCCAATTAGAATGTGTCAAATTATGAAATTGTTGCCATGTTATATTTTTATGTTGCTATGTATGAAAATAAAAAGAACTACATAATTTTTTTTATTTTCGAACCCATTTTTTAATTAAAACGTGATTAAAACCAACAAGTCTCGAGTTGAAAAGGAAAATTGTATAAAACACAAAAATGATGGAAAACCATACTTTAATTATATTTTTAAAGAAATGTTAACTGTTTCTTCCATAAAACAGTTGTATCAGATTATAGCCGTGTTTTCAATATTTTTAATCCACCATGAAATTCCCCAAAAACATGATGTTAATTTTGTTAAAATAAAGATAAGAATAATTGAATAAACGTAGAACAGTCGTAACCATAAAAATTTATTAGTAATCAGTTTCTAAGATTAAATACAACCTATATCAACTTGTATACATAAAGTTCTTAACAGACGTTGAATTTTACGTTATGAAATACTTTCTTACATTTTTTATTTGTTTTGATGCATTACATCATTTGGCGGTAAGAATATTATTCGTAATATTGGCGTCAAACAAATTTCTCGCTTCTCACGAACCTAAGTTATACGATAAGCTCTTCTTTCCGTTTATATTATCAGTTGAATGAGTATCTATTGCTGGCTTGTTAGTTATGTTCTTCTTTGCCTCTTCTACGTCGATTATAGGTTGGCAAGGTTGGTCACTTCGCTATTTCTAATTGCTAATTTACTTAAAAAACCATATTTTTAGATATCATCAGGATATGAAGATATACAGAGATACGAAGATGTACCGCAACAATTTAATAGTAACGCAGAAAGCTATGAAAAGTTAAAGGTGAATCGAAATATATCACTAAATATTTATTGAGAATTTTGCTCCACAGCCGAAACATGTAGATGTAAAATTCTTAAAGCATGACAGAAACGACAATTTTTGTATAGATTCGGTAGTGAATATCCGAAAGCGTTTTATATCCATTCTCATACTTTTTTAATATTTAACTCTGTTAAGTTTGTTATAGGGTAACGTTTTTTTTTCTTCTCACTTCAGAGTCCAAGTTATCAGTACAAGCTTGAGGGTATGGCTGGAGACGTAACCGATTTATTGGGATCTAATGTACATTTTCGACAGTCGGGAACTTACGACGACTACGGTAGACGATTCTTCTTCTTCAACGATGTAAGTTTTTTGAGTGAAAGTAGGAATTGCCATTGGCAAAATATTTAATATCAGAGAAGTAAGAGAGTAATAGTTAAGGATGGAAAGAGAGGATAAAATTAGCCTATAATATGCCCGTCTATATCAGCTACCCTTCACTGAAAGTCCGGTCGAAATCGGCCCAGCCGTTTCGGAGATTACCCGGAACAAACGCGGCTTACGGACAGACAGTCAGCCAGACAAAAAATTAAAAGCGATTTTCGTTATCAGCAACGAAAATTCATCATCTTCCCGAAATGTGGATTTTTTCTTTTGATATAAGACACTCCAATTTTATTACATGTATAGATAGATCAAAGAAGAGAGTAATAGTTAAAGAAGGGAGATGAGAAAAAATGTAGATGTCACTTACTTTATTGTCTTTATTTTGCCTATTTTGCAGGATGAGAGTAGGAAAAATACTAACCCAGCAAATGAAAATTTGGTACCGATGAAGGTATATTTTATTCTTTGCAACGTTTTTCTTTTATTTATACTCGTCTGTTGATGTTATTGTTCCAAAATTTATTATTTCTGTGCTCTAGGCACCTCCGGAATTGGTTGTAGCCTTAGCGAAATTGTCCGCGAAACGTGAAGCAAATAACATAGTGGATCCTTTAGAAGAATTAGCCAAAAGATCTATCGTAAGAACTGGGGTAAGTTTTTTTTAAAGCAGGTTTTTTTAAACAACCATACCTTCTCGTATAAGTTTTCAAAAAATGAATGGTAAAAAAAAAATTGTCTATTTCACAAAAAAATATTTTTTAACAATTTTTTTAAGGATTATTGGGATGGCGTGTGGAAAGAAGACGTTGAAGTACCCACTAACAACGTACTAAGATCTAAAGATAAACCAGTTCCTGGCGTAGTAAGTTTGTTAACTTTTTTTTTTCAAAATGAGAAGCAGAAATTTGTACATATTGAAATAACTTAAAAACTACAGGGGCAATTTCAAAAAATCTTTCACCGAAAAGCTATGTTACCGATGAGTAACGGAGGCTACATTTTTTACGATGATGTTGCGAGCAATAGCTGAGTTATAAAATTGATATATTATTTTCAGGGTATAGTAAAAGCGAAAGTCGCACCTGGGTCAAAATTATACCGGTTGATATCCGTTCTGCAACAGTTTTCGCCTCGATTACTGTACGTCGTTAACAAGGAACAAGGGAAATGATTTGTCAATTATAATATTCGCAATTAATTTGTTTTAATATACCTATAGTGTTAGAGGAAGTTTGAGAGTAGCCCCAGTGGTTGAGAAAATAAGGAGTAAAAGGTTAGAGGGAGGAGAAGGGATGAATCGCATGTAACAAGAAGGATGTTAGTTATGAATGTGGAGGGGTACATCGGTAGAGGTAGACCTAGAAAGAGATGGATGGATTGCGTGAAAGGTGACATGATCAAGAAGGGAGTGATGACTGAGATGACGGATGATAGAATGCTTCGGAGGACGAAAACCCAGGGCGCCGACCCTACGGGAGTAGGATAAGGCAGAGGAGATGATAATGATACCTAAAGAAGTTTTCTCTATACTAATACAATAGAACATTGATAAGTTAAAGTCCAAGGGAAACACAAAATACTTTAAGTTATAGAGGTTTTAAGTTATCAAGACATTGTAGAGGTTTTGGGCTCTGATGGGAAGGGGACATATTATTTTTTGAAGACTACAATACTATAAAGAGGTTTTCAAGTTACCGAGGTTTGAGTTATCGAGGTTCTACTGGACTATAAAGACGAAAGATTTGTATTTTTATGTATTGCAATTAAAAAAACGATTAAAAAAAATCACCATTAAAATGCTACATTATCAGTGAGTTACAGTGGCTATCTTTCTTATTATTTTTTTTAATTTCACGGGAACGAAGTCGGGCGAAACAACTAGTTAAGAATATATTAGCGATAAAAAAACAAGAGTTACAACGAAGGAAAAATACATGTGTTGTAACCTTTTTTTTTAAATAGAAACTGAAATATGTACATAAAACATTGCTGGCATACAACATTGGTTATAGTTTTTCATAAATCCAGGGTAAATCGCAAAAAAATGAAGTTTATAGTAAATTTTTCTAACATGTTCGCTGTTTCACTTTGACATTGGTCAAGGTCAAAAAAATATTAACAAAGACAAAATTAAAAAGCAATGTTTATTCATATTTTTATTTAAACCTAGTTGCGTCATTAGACGCAACAAGGTTATTAGTTTGCAGTGACCACATATCCGGTATAGTTCGTTTCAATATTTTTATTTTGCGATAAGCTTCAAGTATTTTTGGTTTTAAATTTGGATTATCTTCGAAATATGTCACCATATTCCTTAAATCATCTTTTACCTCGCGTTGAGTTACTATCCTTCGCATTTCATTAAAAAAATATTCCGCGGATAAATAGTGAGTTCTAATAAAAGCGCAGATTTCCTTCACTTTTATTTCATGGATCTCGTCTTGACTGAGAAATTCTTGTAATTTATGACCTTTTATTACTCTATTCAATTCGCTTTCAGTCCAATCATGTGGTACTTTATTACCTAAACTTTTTCTCGTATTTGGTATTGGACGTTCATATACGTATATATTGAATTTATTTAACACATTTCCTGTTTCCGGATTAACATCGGTAACATTTTGATCTACGTCATTATACAGTTCGATGAAATTTCCTCTATTTGACGGCAGAAAACATACCTACAACAAACACAATTTTTTTTTAAAGTATTAAGAGTTGGCAGCTTGGTTAGACGTAAGATCTCAGCCTGACCCAAGGTATTACCTATTTAAATTGCATATTTCTTGAAATCTTAAATGAAATAATACAGTTTTTACATTTGTATAGTAGTTATGTAGTATACATGTTTATATTTTTTCCCTTGCCATATTCGACTGGACTATGTAATAGTCGCTAACCACAGGTCCTCGTACTAAAGACAAGCTACATAACTGATTGGTTAGCTACAAACTCATCATACTTCATACTAATATTATATATGCAAAAAATTATATGGGTGGATGGATGTTTGTTAGAGTTTGTAGCCCAAACGACTGAATGGATTTTGAAGAAATTTGATACAGATGTAGAGGATAGTCTGGAAGAACACACAGGCTACTCACTTTTGTGTTTTTTTTAATTCCACGCGGATGGAGTCGCGGGCGAAAGGTAGTACATAATAATTAAACATGAAAAAACTTACAGCAAGAAGTGAAGGTATAATGAAATTCATTTGGTTAGAATATAATTGTCTGACTTTATCGGTGTCATGTAAGACAAGAATCATCTCATATACTAGTAATTACAATACCGTGCATTACGTGTTTGAAATCTAGGGTTGTCACCTTGTCATAGACCATGACAGAATCCTAATTTTTAGTCAGAAAGTATTACAATATTAGGCAACCACTGTGAAAATAACAGAACTCAAAAACTACTGGGCCGCTTTAAAAAAATATTTCACCATTAAAAAGCTATGTCAGCACAGAGTAACATAGGCTATAATCGAACTTTTTTTTTAATTACACCCAGGCTAAGTCGCGGGCAACAGCTAGTCTATACTGAAATTATAAAGAGGAAAGATTTGTATTTTTGTATGTATTGAAATAACTCAAAAACTACTGGGCCGGTGTCAAAAACTCTTTCACCAATAAAAACCTACATTATCAGTGAGTAATAGGCTTTATTTTTATTACTTTTAATTTCACGAGGACAAAGTCGCGAACAACACTTAGTTTTTAATGTCTATAATCACAGTGAAGACAGCTTTATAAAGGTAAAATTGTTTAGGTACTTTTTTTATTTAATTTCCATTAAATTTGACGATAGTGACAACCCTGGATAAAATATTTTGATTGAATGCAGTCAGTGTAACGCTGATAAAGTGTAATTGAATGGATTTACAATGTCACGGGTTCAGTTGTTTTTAAATACAAAATTAAACTGTCATCTTCATCATCATCACCATTATCTGGTGATGACCAGCTCACTAAAGGTCCCCACTGCCCTCAGTCCCCCTGCTTGCTGTCTACCTTAAGTAAGGGGTGACTAGGCTAAGGACTAAACTATCATCATCATCATCATCACCAGCTCACTATACGTCCCCACCGAGGGGCTCGGAGCCTACCCTAATAAGTGGTGACCAGGCCATAGTCAACCACGCTGGCCAAGTGCGGGTTGGTTGACTTCACACATATCTTTGAATTTTTTCACCGATATGTGCAGGTTGCATCACGATGTTTTCCTTCACCGTAAGAACGTCGGGTAGATTATGTACATATGAAAATTCGAAAATCACATTGGTACATGGCGGGATTCGAACCCAAGACCCGTAGATTACGAGTTAAGTGTTCAAACCACTGAGCCACCGACCGACTAAACTATGCATTATTTTAATTAAATAATTACATTAGTTTTCCATTAAAGAATCAAGACTATCTAATTAGTAATTTAAAAGAAAAAAAAATAATTGAAGTATGTTACTTGAAGTCAAAATTTACTTTGAATCGTTGAAAAATATCGCCCGTAGCAGAAAAATGAATAAACTACGATAAGAAATATGTGCAAGTAAAATACTGGTTTACAAATACTCTATTGAAAATAGATTTTTATTATTAATTTTATCGTATTGTTTAATTTAATGTTATTTCTAAGTAGCAAAATCGATATATATGTGCGAAGTCATTCCAATTGAATAAAAAAATGATTTAGTTTGTTTTTTGTTTAAAAAAAAATAATGAAAAATAAATTTTTGTTGTTAATTATTGCAACATTGTTTATTGAGGTAAAATATAATTGAAATTAAATTATTTTTTACTCTCAAAAAATATTTTTTATTTTTAAAAAAATAACTAAAAAATTCCTTGTACTACATATTTTTTTTTCTATTTCAGATAAACACTGGTAGATTCGAAGTCCCCGAGGAATTCAGGTTTATAAATTACCCAACATTAGTTGTTCCAGGCAAGAATATTGCAGCGGCATTACAAAGAACACCAAAAAGATTTAAACTAAGGAAATTGTGATAAAATGTCTTTGAAAATAAAGAGTAATACAACAAAGTTAATTGATAACACCATTTAAAAAAAAAAAACTTCTTTGTAAATTTGTAATTGGAAAAATGTTTTTTTTTTTATCGAATGAATTGCAATATTTTTTTTAATTAGTTAATGAAACTAGCTATCAATACTCATAGTTTTTTCTTACATAAATAGTAACTAACTATTTAAACTAACTTTTAACCTATAAGAGATTAAGATAAGAATTTAAGCCAGTCATCTATAAACACTTTTTACTTTACAATGGTACAGACAAAAAAATAATTTATATTCCAAATATAATATTACAAAGAGTAAAGATTTGTATTTTTGTATGTATTGAAATAACTCAAAAACTACTGGGACAATTTCAAAAAAATCTTTCACTATTAGAAAGATAACTTATCTGTGTGTAACATAGGATATGTCTTTTATTATTTTTTTCACGGGGACGAATTTTTAATATACCTCAAATTTCATATCAGCCCCATTCTGTAAAACTGACATCAGTAAAATCTTCAGCTCGGAATCTTCTAAGACTTGGTGGTAATTCTTTATATATGTTAAAAGATTCATTATATATCCATGGAAATGTATGAGTAACACCATTATTATCATATATTGTAGTCTCAGATGTGCTTTTAGTAGTTTTTTCTGATTGTAACCTCTGATACAAGTCAGAGAAAGAAGGTTGTTGTGGTTCAACCTTTATTTGTTCATTATACACAACTGAAATAGGAAAAAAAAGGGATAAGTACATTAATAACATAAATATGACTAAAATAATATCTACATTTGCTTATCTTTACTAAAATTGTAGAGGAAAGATTTGTATTTTTGGATTTTTGTATGTACTGAAATAACTCAAAAACTACTGGAACAATTTCCAAAATTCTTGCACCATTAAAAAACTGTTATCACTGAATAACATAGGGTGTATTTTGGCTTTTTTATTTTAAATGGACGAAGTCGCGAGTAACAGTCTATACTAATATATAAAAACGACACAAACACAAACTACAATTTTTATATGTATCAAGCACCAAAAACAACCGGATTGATTTAAAATATTCTTTAGACATTAAAAAGGAGAGAAATAACTGAGAAACAGAGACTACATTAATGTTTTTTTATTTGTTTGTCAAAGTTATGGACAAAAGCAAGTACTTTATCAAAAAACTATGTGCATATTTACGTAGATTTCAAGCAGATTTTAAAATATATAGAGGAGGCATAGTTGGCACTTCACTTGAACATTTCCAAATAATCACATATGACTATAGCCTCAAAAACACATGTCAATATAATTCATTATATTTAAATTAATTACCGTTAGTCATTTTATTTTGTGACATTGTTTAGTTTATTTCACACCAAAAGACGGAGATTATTGTAATTTTTTATATTTTATTACAAGTCAATACAACACAAGGTGAAATGTTCACTATGTCTTGTCTATGTATTTTTAAATGTCTATGAATTACAAAGTAGAACATACCATATTCCCTTAGTGCTTCAATTTGTTCTTGAGTATAATGTGAAAATCTACAGATACCACCAAAGTTGCATTCACCCTTTAAAAACCTCAAGCAAGGCTTTTTGTAACTCTCTTCTTTTAATATTGTAGCCGCATCTGGAAATGTAAAATTTTAATTAATAAAAATAGATCAATACCTCTGTCTTTTGTATATCAGTAAACTTTTACTGTTTTTCTCGAATTTAATTCCTACATTAACCCAATATTCTTAATAATCATACTAATATTATAAATGCGAAAGTTTAGGTGGATGGTTGTTTGTTATAGTTTGTAGCCTAAATGGCTGAATGGACTTCAATGACATTTGGAATGGATGAAGTCTGGAAGAAAACATGCTTTGTTTTATTTTTTTTAATTCCACGCAGACGGAGTCGCGGGCCAAAGCTAGCATATTACCCCTGCTGGGTATAGGCTTCCTCCATGTGTTTCCACTTGTCCAACAACATTCTTATGGTAAAGAAGAATGTTCGAAGAAATTTAGATATTTGTGGAGGCCATGACTAACTTTGGGCAGCTGCACCAACACAGAAAGTGAATCACTAAGTCAGGGTAAATATGGCAATGAAGACTCCAAGCATAGTGTCATATAGCGATGATACATGTAAAACTTATTCAACCATACTATACAGTATAATAGACTATGTTTTATTAGTGTTTAGAATGTGTATATTAGAGGAAATTTTAAAGTAGCTCTAGTGGTGGAGAAATTAAGAAGCAAAAGGTTAGCATGGTATAAATATGTTAGCGACAAGACAATGGGGACATAAACCAAAAAGTATTATGAATGAATGTGGATGGTTACAAAGGAAGAATAAGACCGAAGAAAGTATGGATTGTGTGAAAGAGGATTTGCTTAAGGAGTGGATTCAGATATGACCGCTGATAGAGATGTTTGGAAAAACAGTACATACTCTGCCGACTCTCCATAAGAGATGAGGGCGAGTTAATGATGAGACTATGTTTTAGTAGTAAGAATAATGTAAGGAAAAATTGAAATACCTTTGTACTGTTGATAATGTTCACTGACTAATTTCTGATGAACAGTTCCTTTTAGATGTGTTCTTATTATTGTAGGAGTGGCAACCATGGTTTTGTCACAGTAATCACAATAATATCGTTTACCCATGGTTCTGAAAACAATTATGGGATGAGTCAAAATTTGCTTTTTTCGTATTATTTTACAAATGAATTATATGGTAGAAATGTTATTAAATCATGTTAAGATACCATTAACCCATTTTTATGAATAAAAGAATTTCAAAAGTAATAATGTAACTTACGTTAAATATTTTAAGAACGTGAACTTTTACCGATGCATGTATTGTTGTTTTTTTTTAAATAGTTTAGATTATTCTATAACGTTTTATATAATGGTTATAAGTATTTTTAACAGTTATTTATATATATTTTATAACTTTTAATACAACAGGTGCGAAAAAATTAAAAACAAAAATTGTTGACAAATTGAAACATTGACAGAGATAGAATGAATGTTGCCATTCACAATTTATAAACTACTAAAAAATATAATTATTTTTATTTAGAATTTGGTTAATTGAATTTTTATTTATTGTTACAATTTTTGGATACGCATAGTGTTTTATTTTATTTTGTTAAAAGATTACAAATATAACCTTTTACTTTATTGCGTTAATGCAATGCATGCAGTAAAGTGAATGTTTTTCCCAATTTGTTGCAAAGTATACGATAAGGCAATCTTATTATACTTTTCGTTACTTTAATTTTCAAAACAAAATGTGAAGGGTAGTTTAATTAAATAGCATCAAAGTTTAACAGTGGTGTATTTGAGTGTTTTAAACATGACCGTGGTAAAAGCGATATATCGTGAATTACAAGACTTTATCGTTACCTTAGACTTTTTAGTTGTGCTTAAAAGAACCATGAAAACTATTTCAGTGCGTTAGAGAAATGAAAAATGCTACGAGTACGTTGCGAAAAGATTTTTTGGTAAGCAATTTTTTTTGTGATATTTTTATCCGTGTATGTATGTATAATTTTTATTCTTCACAAATTAAGTTAAAAAGGGTACAAAGTCCTTAAATATTAAGCACACGTATTGCATTTAGGACGATAAAAGTAAGGTACATTAAGATATCTGTTTAATCTCGGTACACCAAAATTGGGATACGATAATCGTGCTTCTATAGGTCTTATAGTAACAGGATAGAGCGACTGAAAATTGTCTTCAAGGATGTTTACTGTAGGATTTCTAGTGATGCTCGGTGGTGGAGGAAATTTAGGGAATAACTCAGAAGGGTTTTTACGAAAACTGTTGAATTCAATAGGTTTAGGAGTGGTTGTGGCTATTGGTTTGGGTTTATACGCGTATGGATAAGAATTAGAAAACGGATTAAAATTAAATTCCTCTAACGGTTTGGATTCGGATGACGTAAACGGATCGTAAGGTTTTTGCGGTTTTTGAGAGAAATCGTTAAATTTAATAGGTGGAGGGTTGAAAAATCCGGTTGGCATTATTGTTTCTGATGACATAATTTTTGAAAATTGCAGAGGATTCTGATTGTTAGGTGGAAAGTCGTCGTTAAAAATATTTCCGGTTCGACCTAAATTAACAAGACTGTCGGGGCTTGGGTTTCCGGAAAAGCTTCTACGACTACCTGAAACAAAATTGTTTGTTTTAAAATTTCTTCAGTTGTCAGCAAAATTGTAAACATTATAATTACATTTTTATAATAATGAAATAACAAGTTTGAAGACATTAAATACTAACGTATTTTTAAACAATTAATATAATTTTAACTAGTCATCTTAATTTAAGCACTCCACTATAGAACTCGCCAGAAATGCGCGCGAATAACCAATCCTCCTAATGACAGTGACAGCTGTCAGCTAGGGACGTAACGTTTATGCCGATAATCTAGTGTTGCCCTAATTCTACAGCACAGTACTAATTTTCTTCTTAACAATATGGACTATTCAAATTCGATGTTTAAGAAGTTAAAATTATTATTAGTTTCAAATCACATTAGAAAAAAAACATTACAACGTAGGCGCATTACATTTTGACACGACGTAATTAAAATATAAAACGGAGAACTAACATTTACATGATGTTTATTCAAACTAAAAATTATTACCAACCCAAAAGTTTTATGTTGTCGTTTACTTCGAAGCTCGAATCTACAGCTGGTTCAACATCATCAAATTTTGACGCTGTTCTAGCTTTATGATCCAAGATAGTATCTTGAGCTTCATGAGAACCAATACGACTGGAATCTACTGGTGAATTATCGTCTACTGTTTTCCCTTGTATCTCATCTTTATCTGCATCAATTTTATCTATTACTTCACCATCGTTTCCACTTTTTTCCATATCATCAATAGAATATTCATCAAATTCATCATCATTTATGTTAGAAGTCCTTTCACTGTCTACATCATCTGTATTTAATTCGGTTTTCTCAGATGATTTTCTATTCATGTCATCTGATGAAGATCTGCGCGTGTTTTCATCTAAATTACCATCAATTTCTTGATTGTCTATTGCCGTTTTTATATCAGAATTATCTGTTACATGATCTGATGCTCCTTCTGACGAACGTTCTACACGTGATTCTGTAACTTCATGTACATTTTCGTCATTTTTATCGTCAAGCAATTCGTCACCTTTTTTAGATTCCAAAGGGTTATCGTCAGATTTTAAATCTACATTTTCTACATTTTCTTCTTTATCCGATTCCTGTAATATCACTAGATTAATAGAGTTATGATTTAAAAAATAAAAAATAACATTTAATCCTCAACACAATAACACAATCATAAATAACAAAAGAAAAACAAACATGACATAGTAATAGAAAAAATATTTAAAATTTTAGAGTCTGTGATTTTAGGTTATTGTGAAATTCAAAGAGATTCAGAGTAATACTAGTTATAGAGTGGACATTACGAGCACATTCCTTTAAACCTAGTAAGGCTATCTGTCACAAGTGTCTTACAAGAGTACGAAACTGTACTCTTGTACCAGATTTATTTATCCTGTTTCCTGCTTTTGTCAAACGTTCGTGGGTTCAGTGCACGAGGTTTTATATATGCTGTTGCTCACGACTCCGTCCGCGTAAAACAAAAAAAATAGACCTTTCTCATTTCTTACCATTGTGCAAGAATTATTAAAATCGGCCCAGTAGTTTTTGAGTTATTACAATACATACAAAAATCCAAAAATGCAAATCTTTCCTCTTTATAATATTAGTATAGGTATGTTATTAGTATAAATTACAACTAAAAATAAACTAAAACCGTGTATACACTTAGTCTTCACTTAGCTTAGGTGGAATCGTGGTCAAGCGTTAGTTTATTCAGGTTAAAAAAAAACCACTTTTTAGATACATTAAATTTTACTGCCATGTCTATATAAGTTAAAAGTCTGCGGTCAAAATACTTACAGATCGTACTGGTGTTAAATACGCAACCGTCAGCAGTAACCCAAATAAAATTAAATGATTTTGCATCATTACCGCAATTACAATTATATTAATGTGTACTACATAACGTTTATATCAGTACTAAGTAGTGTTTTCAGTTAATAAGACGCTTATTACTTTTAGACCGTAAAATCGATTTGTGGCAGTAAATCTTCAACGGCATCCGTACACAATCCTTATTGCTCTTTACTATTTACATCAAACTGATTATTTTTCATGGTTTAACTGATTATGCGCCTTCGTTTTCTGGCAATCTGTCACACAGAGCAACCTAGTATGGATTCCTGTTATAGCGGAATACATCTTACTAATATAAATGTGAAAGTTTAGATGGATGGATGGTTGTTTGTAGTCGGTTGAACGGATTTCGTTGAAATTTGGTATAGATGTAGAGGATTGTCTGGAAGAACATATAGGCTATTCATTTTTTTTAATTCCAAGCGGACGGAGTCGCGGGCGAAAGTTAGTAATATTAAAAATGCAAGAGTTTATATGGATATTTGTTTGAGCTTGTAGTCTAAACGGTTGAACGGATTACGATGAAATTCGCCATAGTTGTAGAGGATTGTCTGGAGGAGCACATAGGCTACTTATTTTTGTTTTTTTTTTTTAATCCCACGCAGATGGAGTCGCGGGCGAAAGCTAGGAATATTAAAAATGCGAAAGTTTAGATGGATGGATGTATGTTAGAGTTTGTGTTCTAAACGGTTGAATGGATTTCGTTGAAATTTGGTATAGTTGTAGAGGACAGACTGGAAGAACATTATAGACTATTCATTGTTGTTTATCATTTTGTTTATTTCAGCTTTTGAATACATTAAATAGTTAATAGTTAACAATTTGGAGGAAATTGTTAACTATACGTAGTCAAACATGATAAACGTTATAATAGCTAATGTTGAATTCTTTTTTTAATGGTTCTACGGCCATTTGATCTTTTCCCATGACTTTCCCCATTTTTGACCTCACAATAATTTAAAAAGTTTGGTTATGTAATCTGATAATGAAGACAACAATCTTGAGATTATTGTTGAAAAAAGTAAGCCGAAAATGAAACCAAGGCCAGACTATTGTCTTGTACTTTTTTCCTTTGTGATTTTTTGTCTAAGTAGGTTTTATGTGCTATCTGACAGAATAAACAGCGATAGCAGCGCCTCGCGGCCGAGATGCGCACTGAATCTAGTTTTAAGAACTTTTTATAAAACCTCAGAGAGAAATATGAACTGTTATTAAAAAGAAGAAAGAAGAAAGACGGAAGATGTCAATCAGAACTTTTCTTTTTTACATTTTCGATTTGTTTCATTGAAATTCGTTGCAGACTTTATCTTTGATATACATATTTTTTTTTATTTAAACAGCGAATAAAATGGTACGTAAACTTAACAATGTAAATAGTGTAATAATTTCATCTTAACTTCATTGAAGGATTACTTGACAAATTTATATTTCTTATTACGAAACTAGATTATCATATGCCTAATCCCTACGTCCTAATCTAACCAGTAAGGTAATGAGAAATTTTTCGCTGTTTGGTAACTAGTGATTGTTATACTTTTACCCTTCTTAACCGCTAAAAGTAAAAATGTGTACTCACCCTGAGTACACATTTTTATTTTCCATCTAATACGGTTACAAGTACTATTGTTTCTTTTATACTTAAATTATTCCACCAGTTACTGGTGCCGTCAGAATAAAATTGGTTGTGTGATATACGGAACTTTTTTAAGTCGAATAGTCTGGACGAACACGTAGGCTACTCACTTTTTTTAATTACATGCGGATGGAGTCCCGGGCGAAAGCTAGTAATATTTTAAATGCGAAAGTGGATGGATAGATGTTTGTTAGGGTTTGTAGCCTAAACGGCTGAACGGATATCGATGAAAATTGGCATAGATGTAGAGGATAGTCTAAAAGAACACATGGGCTACTCATTTTTGTTTTCCTTTTAATTCCACGCGGACGTTGTCATGGGCGAAAGCTAGTAGCAAATAATATTTTGTTCACTTTACTTTATACGGTTTATTTCAATGCCAAGTTTGATATGCCTTTTAATTTATACTTTATGTAATTCTAGAACTTTCGCTTTGTAATAAGCTCTCTGTTGCTGAATAGTTTTATTACCAGGGCTGTATTTACTTAATAAGGGTTATTGTTCAGGCGGAAGGTTAACAGGGGCGTCGCGGCACGTTCCATACCTTGTAAATGTTTTGATTTTATATGGCTTTAAAAATAAAATTTGCTTATTTAAACTAGAAATTAGTTGTGATTGATAAACTAATTGCGAGGCAATTCATATAGGTACTGAATGATTGTGAGCTGATTTGTTATTTTGTCTCTTAGCATTTATTTAATTAATTTAAAACCTAACAGCCTTACAAATAAATGTAAATTTAAATTAGGTATAAACTAAGAATAAGAAATAAGAAAAAAATGTAGTAATATTTGCTTGTACTCAGTTTATTCCTAAGTTTAACTTTATACCACGTTTATTTGTAAGGCTGTTAGAGTTTTGTCCGGCAATTTATGAATAGAAAGGGTTTAAAAATTTAATCTCCTCGGGAGCAAAAACGTTACTCCGTAACTCTCTTAACGATATTTGTTTCATATGCTATTCCAATATTAAGATTCATTAAATCAGATAGGTAAAAATCAAAATCAAATATTGATTTTGAATTAGTAAATAAAAGTGATTGTGTTAGGCGAAAACACCTCAAGACACACCACGCGTATTTCAATTGGTTGCAAGAACTCAGGCTGAAGAAGATGCCTACGATATAAAAGCGAACAGAAAACAACCCAAGCCATCGGGGTAAGTAAAACCAAAATTTATTTTTTCAAAATTATTATTTACAATTAGTTATCAATAAACTCATTAAATCTTTCGTAAGACATTATACTAGATAATTTATAACACGGCTAAACTCACGTGGACACTTTCGGTGTCCTCACCGACCCGTTTCAGACCCGTCGGGAGTCCATCTTGTAGTGACCGTCGCGACGCGATAGCGAATAAAAGCGTAACCTCTTACCCTAAAGAAGGACCCCCGACGAGTCTGAAACTGGTCGCTGCCTACACTGACAGTTGCCAGTTTACCCGTGTTATAAATTATATAGTTTATCAAGCTTTGTTTTGCCATATACATAAAAGACGTAATTAATGAAAACAAATTCGAATGTGATTCAAAAATTTTTTCAAATCGAAATGAACTTTTTACGAGTAAGTATCTATTACCTCAATTTTAATATTTAGATTTCTAATAAAGACATTTTAAACTATAGGTTGATTGGATCAATAGCTCATTTAGTGAAAGGTGCATTGGGTGGTGGTATCCTGAGTGGGCACGTTGCCTGGATGACAGCAGGACTGTGGGTGGCCATGCCAGTCTCACTGTGCTGCGGAATCTATATGTTCTACTGTCTTAATGTAAGTGCCACTTCTTATTGGTAAGAATGGTAGATTAAAAGCAGGAGCATCTTTGACTATCGTGTAACTGTTGTGCGATTGTCGATTATTTTGTAGTCCTCAACTGTTTAAACAACTAAAAATCGAGAAGTGTGCGCTCCATAGATGCTCATAGGAATCAAAGTGCGACTAAATAGTTTGTTTGACTAAATATTTCAGTCATATGTGTGCGCACTTAAAGTTCTTAGTACAACTCTTATGAATCTAACCAAGTAGCAATTAATGTAATATGCAAAGTAATGTAACAAATAGAAGTAGAGAACAAATATATATGAAAATTAATGTAACGTGTAGTGTAATGTAACAAATAGAAGTAAAGAAACAAACAGATATATACAAAATGTAAAAGACAATAGGGAAATAAAATTGTATAAACAATCAATGCCGCAGGATAAAAATTATAAAACAGAACAAGTCGGCAAATTAAGTGCTACGCAAGAAGAACAGAGACGGCGAAAGAAAAAAAACTAAGTACATGCAATATTGGGATCATCAAAGTTCAGGATATATTCGTGTAGGGTGTAAGCCGCAATAGTATAGTCTTCTTATTGTAATAAAGGGGAATGATTTTCAGATATTAGTGATGTCGGCTCAGATATTGTATAAAAGGACTAGAGTTCCGTCCATGACATACTCGGATGTCGGTGAAGCGGCTTGCGCGTGCCATTCAAATGAATCTATCAGGAAATTGGCAAAGACTTTCAGGTATTACAAAAATGTATTTTAAACTCAATTCTGTTAAAATGCTGTTGGATTTTAATTACTATATCAAATTTTAACTATCATACTAATATTATAAATGTGAAAGTTTAGATGGATGTTTGTTAGAGTATGTAGCCTAAACAGCTGAACGGATTTCGATGAAATTTGGTATAGATGCAGAGGATGGTCTGGAACACATAGGCTACTTTCGTTTTTTTAATTTCACGCGGACGAAATAGCGAGCAAAAGCTAGTACTAATATAAAGAGAAAACGTATTTTTGTACGTATTGAAATAACTCACAAACTACTGGGCTGATTACAAATTTAGTATTAAAAAGTTACGTTATCGTTAACATAGGCTATGTTTTTTTGTTATTTTATAACACATGGGCGAAGTTACGAGCAACAGCTAGTGAAAAATTAAAAACCAATAAACGCTGAACGTATAACTCATTGTCACGTTCTGTCTGAGCCGAGCGTGCGAGCGAGAGCGCGGTATCAGCGATAGAGAGGCGCGATTGGTTTAAACCAATAGACCATCGACTTTTTTACATCATAAGATGGCAAACGAGCAAGCGTCCATCGGAATCCGACAAAATGGCAAAGCGACTGCTACCCATTGACATTCGCAATAGCGGCTACTTTGCCTACCCTTGATCGACAGAGGAGGAGACGCACATAAAGATGACATTTCCCATTCCTATGCGTATCCTCCTAAGTTGTGTCTCCGGCACCACACTCGTCAGACGAAACTCGGAATTGCTGCCACTTCACGCCTGTCTATGTCACTTGTGACGTTATCTCGTAAAAATGTAGTTCATAAACCATTATATTTCAGGTATATGATAGACGCCATGATATGCATAGATTTATTTGGATCTTGCGCCACTTATCAGATTATTATAGCAAAATCATTAAAACAATTAGTGGAGAATACGCAAACGACGTCAATGGAAGGCGCACATGGTGAGTAACATGGTCTTTTAAAAAACTTTCCAATCTATCTGTATTTTGTTACTAATTCTGTCAATCTATTTGTTTGCCTGTTCTGTCATTCAAAATCTTAAGACCAGTCTTCTACTTACTTTGGTTATAATATGGTATTGTTGTCTTTTTGATTATAACCATTATGACGTTAACTGTCGTGGTTGGTGGCGTAGGTGGGGATTAGAATTGATATTAGAAAATTAATAATACGAGTGGATGTAGAAATTTTAAAACAATCTAGTAAAACAGGCGCTTTTAATTCATACCATAATCGGTCATTACCAAGCAACGACCTATTTATAAAGAGTAAAGTAATTTTAACATTGGTAGAGCCCGCTTTAACATCTTCGCACTTAATGGGTCAGCTCGCCCGGTGTAATACCACGACCACACAGAAGACAGCCGTGAAGTTAAAACAATTCCGCGTTTCGACTAATGAGTGTGGTGCCGGAGGCCCAATTTTAGTCCGTTTCCAATTCCACCCTCTTCTTATAAGGAATGGATTGGATGGGTAAGTGGATTTGACGGTGGAGACGAATAGGAAAGGGAAATATCCTCTTTATGCACGTCTCCTTCTCCGTCGATTGAGGGTAGGCAACGAAGCTGATGTCTATGGGCAGCGGTAGCTTCGCCCTTTTGGCGGATTTAGGTAGCAGCTTGCTCGTTTGCCTCCTTGTTGTATAAAAAAATTGAAGTACTTGGTCGGATTATCAGAATCGAGAACTCATTTGTCCAATGTTGTAATGTTTACTTTCCAGGAATGCCTGGTTTGCGATTCTATTTGGCTTGCTTGATACCATTCGTGATAATGATTTGTTTAATCAGACATCTGAAATGGCTTGCGCCGCTGTCAATTGTCGCTA